CTCAGAACCCCACCTGTGCATGAATTCATGCACCGGGCCTCTAGTTAAAATTATACTGAAATATTTTAGACACTATTCTCTGCTTTTGTTTCTATATTTTTTTGAGTAGGCTATTCATTCATATGAGTAACAAGCCCAACTATATTAAAGGTACACAATTTACAGTAAAAACCTCCTTCTCTCTTGTCCCCCTCCCCTGATCTCCCACATTTCACCCACAACAGGAGGGCACTATTCTTAATTTTCCTATTATCAGTCTTCCGAACCAAGAATGTAATAGAACATCCTGTTTGTTAAAGTCATCATTTGAATTAGTAGTGTTCTACAGTTTTCTTCAGATAGATCTCGAACATTTTGTGTTAAATTTATCCTTAGCCACTCTATCCTCCCTGTTGCTATTATAAATGAAGATTTTTATTCTCATTATTTATACTATGACTAGAGGCCTGGTGCACAAAATTCGTGCACAGGTAGGGTCCCTAGGCCTGGCCAGCGATCAGGGCCAATCCGGGCCTTCCTTCCCTCAGCTGCCAGCTGCTGGCTGCCAGCTGGGGCCTTTCTTTCCTGGCTGCTGGCTGCTGGTTGGGACCTTCCTTCATTCCATGCCACACCCTGGTAGTCAACACATGTCATAGCAAGTGGTCGAACTCCTAGTCCGTTGAACTCCCAAGGGGACAATTTGCATATTAGCCTTCTATTATATAGGATGTAATCACATATAGTAAACTTATTAATTTGTATATTTCACACTGCCCTCTTACTAAAATCTTTTATTTTTGTAGTGTGTGTGTGTTGTGGTTTTTTTTTTTACTCCATTCTCTTCCGTTTTATAAGCACATGATTTTATTTTCTGCAAATTGATAATTTTATTTTCTCTTTTCTAATTTCTAAATCTCTAATTTTTTTTCCTATCTAGTTGCTTGCTCAGGTACATTCAATAATGTAGAATTGCTGCTGTGATAATGAATCCTTGTTTTACCTCTGAGTTTGGAGAGAATGCTTCTATTATTAAACATTCTTTTTCCTTGGTTTTCCAAAAGATTCTTTCTTTTTCCTTTAAGTATAATTATTTTACTAAGATAAGTCTCTATATTGATTCTTCTGGGTCAACTTTTTCAGACACTTGGTTTCCCTTTGCAATATTAAAATTAGAGTTTAATATTACTTCAGAAAAGTTTTCTTCTATTATATGATCATCTATGTTTGTTTCTTCGTTGGGGGTTCTTCTTCGGGGATATAACCTGTCTCGTGTATCTATTACTTCCTCCCAAATCCTTTCCCTTTTTCCCTCCTCAGCACTGTTTTCTATGACCCTTCGTGCATTTTCTGCAGCATCACTTCTCCTGTGCTCCCCACGATTTCACCTGCATGTCTCCATTATGATTGTGGTTTTCCCTCTACTTCCTTCCGCATTTCATTTTTTTGCATTTCTAATTTATGGCCTTCTTTCTCAGAGGCAATTACTTTATTCAGTTTTATTTAGTTTATGATGAAAGGTTTTGTCGAATGATTTCCCTGTTTTGTGATGATATAGTTAACTGAGTTTACCTGTTCTTGATCACGTAAATTTGGTTAAACCTCCCACACTTTTTTCTCATTGTATCTTTGTATCAATGCTCGTGCCCGGTTTTTTGGTTGTTGTTGTCACTGTTTTGTTGATATTCACCTGGGAAGGAGCTGAGTTTTCCTAAACCAGCTATTTGCAGGAGGTGGAGCATTTGGCTCTGTTTTTGATATTTGCCATCATTGCCCAACGTACTACTCCCTGATCCCCACCGACTGGATTTTACTTCACTCCTTGGGGTTTCTTTGAAGAATGCATCTGCTACAGGCAGCCCTTACGTACCTTGCTTTAATCCTCTCCATTCTGCCTTCTTATTACTTCCCCAAAATGTAAGTTTAGATACTTATTCAAGGCACATTGTTACCTGAATGCTTTCCAGGAGGAGAACTGATCAATTACTGTCTAACTGTGAAAACGTCATTGCGTTTGCTGTGATTGGCAATGGTGTTTGGGGTAAAAGTAAAGCCTGGGCACTGTCTTGGCCATGATGCTCCAAGTCTCCACTCATGACCCGAAAACGATGACCTAGAGCCGTGGTCGGCAAACTGTGGCTCGCGAGCCACATGCGGCTCTTTGGCCCCTTAAGTGTGGCTCTTCCTCAGCCTTAGGAGTACCCTAATTAAGTTAATAACATTGTACCTACCTATATAGTTTAAGTTTAAAAAATTTGGCTCTCAAAAGAAATTTCAATCGTTGCACTGTTGATATTTGGCTCTGTTGACTAATGAGTTTGCCGACCACTGACCTAGAACTTTAACATCAACCTCACCTGTTCCTTAAGACACATACATGTAAACTTGTTTCTCTTACATGTGAGCTTCTTTAACACATGTTCTCAGACATGTGGTCTATGCTAAACACATGCACTTTTCTCTCAAGAAAGTTTTAAAACCAGCAGTTTACACCACTGTTTCTCCAGGATATACATCCATTCTCTTTTCTTTCTCGGCCAATGTTAAAAACATTCTGAGCTAATGTTCTAGACCAGCGGTTCTCAACCTGTGGGTCGCGACCCCTTTGGGGGTCGAACAACCCTTTCACAGGGGTTGCCTAAGACCATCGGAAAACACATATATAATTACATATTGTTTTTGTGATTAATCACTATGCTTTAATGATGTTCAATTTGTAACAATGAAAATACATCCTGCATATCAGATATTTACATTACAATTCATAACAGTAGCAAAATTACAGTTATGAAGTAGCAACGAAAATAATTTTATGGTTGGGAGTCACCACAACATGAGGAACTGTATTAAAGGGTCGTGGCATTAGAAAGGTTGAGAACCACTGTTCTAGACGGTTCTGTGGCACGCAGTTACTTTAGGAATCATTCTTCTATTCCCAAGGGCTAAGTTGGCACCAGGGAAGATAAATGTTTGGTTTTTTTTCCAGATTTTCTCTCAGCACATTAACCAATTTCATAGAAAATCAACAAATGCCTTGGAGGCATCCAACACGGACAGGTAACAAATGACCACCTAATGTGGTACAGGGATTCTCAACTTAGACATAACTTCTCCAAACTCAGCCAAAACCCCTGGTTTTTAAAAAGACAGGAAATCACTAAGAAAGTGGGTGAGCAGAGTCCTGGACCCCGAAGAGCGGCTTAACCATGGAAGAGCGGCTTAACCATTCTCCGGAGCTGCTGGGTCTGTTGGTACCACCACTGCCAGACGAGCCCCGGCCCAGGCCCGAGCGGCCCACGTGCTCACCGAAGTGGGTGCCGCCCCCTCCGGAGGTGTGTGGGCAGACGGGGCAGCACTCCCCAGCGGGCGTGATGGGGTCGGCACACTCCAGCACCTCCTGGCACTGGATCTTGTCGCAGAGAATGGCCCCATTGTCGCAGACGCAGATCTGGCAGGGGGCGGGCTTCCAGATGTCCCTGTTTAAGTACATCTGGCCATTCTGAGTGCAGGCTATCTCTTCACCATACCCTTCTGGAAGGAGAAGGAGAAGAAAGGTTAGTGACCTCCTGCAAGTTCAGGATCCGGGAAGTAGTGAGGAAGAGGAGTCGTCCTGTGGCTCCTAGAGAACTCTGGGTAAGCAGTACCTCCCAAGTGTGCAAGCACAGATGAACTGCCTTCATTCGTATTTACACCCAAGCAACGTGCAGCTCACAGCGAGATGAGCACGACACTGCATCCTCGCTGACCGGGGAGCAGGTGAAGTGATCAGAAGGAGGGATGCTGAGTGCCTCCCACAGGCTTCGTTTTTGACGGTATAAATGACAAAACATGGGAAGAGGAACAAGGAGGAATAAAAACAGAACACTGTGCAAAGGCGGGGGGAGAGTAATAGTCCCACGGGGAATACACAATTTCATGTTCAGGCGACCCCTCTGTGACTTTCAGCCCCCTAGAAGCTTCAGGTTAGCAAATTCCACAACAACAAAGACACCATGTGTCCTTGTACCAAGAAGACAAACTTTTTTTAAGTGTATGGGTTGCCCGGACGGTGAGGCTCAGTGGTTGAGCATCAGCCTGTGAACCAGGAGGTCATGGTTCGAGTCCCAGTCAGGACACATGCCTGGGTTGCAGGCTCCATCCCCAGTGTGGGGTATGCAGGAGGCAGCCTATCAATGACTCTCTCTCATCACTGATGTCTCTCTCTCTCTCTCTCTCTCTCTCTCTCTCTCTCTCCATCTCCCTTCCTCTCTAAAATAAATTTTTAAAAATACTTATTTTTTAAAAATTATATGGGTTTATTAAAATTAGTTTTAAACGTAAGGTTAAAAAAAAGAGTAACAGTGTCCTCTTCTATGGAAAATATTTACCTTAGACATCCTGAGCTGAAGGCGCTCACTAAGCTGAAACAGAAATGCCAAGCCTATACCGGCACTGCGGTCCTTATCTCTGCATTGAAATGAATTAAGAAAAGCCATGACCAAAACAATGCGGCAGCCTATTACATGCCACCTGCCAAATGCTTTCCTATCATTAGGTAAAAACTGCATGCAGATTTGGAGACTATATACATGCACAGTAATAGCACTTCTATTATTCATCTACCAGAAAATAAACACAGACATCACATCTTTAACCTTGTGTTTTTAAAAGCAGACGACAGTATTTTAAAACATAAAGCAGATCATGGTATCCCTGCTTAGTTCCTCAGGAGCTTCCCAACTGATGAAACTCAAACTCCTTTCTGCAGCCCAGGCGCCTCCTAGACCCCATTCAATCAGGGCCCCCCTGACCCCTCTCCTGGCCCGGCCTTTCCTCCCTGGTCTCCGGTCCCCTCCTCACTGTCAGGGTTTGCCTAGCTGCCCCTCCCCCACAATTCCTCTCTGACAACCTCATAGAAGGGACTTCCTTCACTCCACTGATGTGCTTCGCAGAACTCTTTAAGAACCATTTACTCATCTACCCGTTCATTCATTTTTATTGGATGCAAGGCAATCAACAGTTGCTGAAATGTGAATAGGCGCGGTGCCCTCAAAAAATGTACCATGATTCGTATTAATTTACTTGTCGTTATCTATTTCCTCATCTCCTCCACTAGACAGCATGGAGAGAAGGGCTAGTGTGTCTTGTTCACGGTGGTGTTTCTAAAAACTGACACCACACTGCAGAGAGCCAACATCCAGCCAACAGCTGTTCCACGAATGGGTATAAATGAATGAATGAATGAATCTAAATTATGGTTCACTAACTTAATTGCACCAGCATTAACTTTGCACTTTACAAAAATAAAGCCAAAAACTTAAAAATGCATCTGAAATTAGTTTCTGAGAGAAATGGTCATTTGTCAGTAAGCAGACTCAATGCTAATACGGAACCACCAGTGGCAGTGACTCCGTGTAGGTACAGACGTTAGCCCACTGCCCGTCCTCCGAGCTCCGGGAGGCCCTTGGGCGGCTCCTCTCACGGCTGTGGGACCCCTCACACCGTCAGTCTTTCGTCACAGATACTGGCAAATGGCAACTGCTGGCAGAGGACGACGCCACCCTGTTTCTCTGCTGCTCAGCAGAGGAGCGCCATTTCCATCTGCCCCCCCCTCCCGCCCCCCGTCACCATAAGATCCTATCAGATGGTCCATAGCCGACCTCTAAGCAGCACGCCTCTCTCCACCACACACCGCTCTCTATGTGCTGCCAAAGGCATTTAGCCCGGGAAAGAGAAAAGTCTCCCGCTTTCATAGGCTTTTCGGCAGCACTATCTTAAAAAAAAAAAAATAAACAGAAATTTGTACATCGAATGAGCAGCATTACTTTCAGATGAAAAACCACTTTGAAGCGATGTCGCTCTACGATGAACATTTCAACAGAACACAACCTGTATGAACACAGACCTGCACCCATATTCATCAAACAATTCCATTACGTAAGTAAATTAATATAACTCTGTTCATTAAGCTTTACTATTGAGAAAGAAATATCCAATCGCAAACACGAAAGACCGCGGCTGAAAATGAGACACACGCTAAGCTCAGTCCGCTTGCCTTCCCGTCCCACAGCCTGAGGGACATAGCGCTCACGTGTTTGCACTGAGGAGTAAGTGTGCTAGTACCGCACGTGCAAAACATTGAAAGTACATGTGTTCTGTTCTCAAAAATATGTATGATTGTGATGTAGATTTTAACCGCATCAATGAAGCCATCAGCTGTGTGGAAACAGAGAATCTGAACAATAAGCCACACACAACGTGACCGGCAGTAATGGTGCCATTAAAGGTCATAAAGTGGGACAGACCTTGGGGGCGAGTTCCCTGTTTCCTCAGCTCCCTCTGACTGGGGTGGGAATGAAAGACTTGTGCCCTGGGGAGAACTGTGCTGAGTGACATAAGCCAGTCAGAGGAAGACAGGTACACACGACCTCACTCACATGTGGGATCTCATGAACCAAAGAAACTGATCAAAAATAGACCCAGAGACACAGAAGCATGGACAGAGGGAAGGCAGGGGAGGGTGGGTGAGAAAAGACCAACCAATGAACTTGTGTGCATAGATGCACAATCCATGGACACAGACAGGGGGTGGGGAGGGCCTGGGCGGGGAACAGGAGTTGGCTGGGAGAGGTCAATGGGGAGAAAGAAGGACCTATGTAATGCTTTCAACAGGAAAGATTAAAAATAATTTTAAAAGAGCACACACACACGCACACACACATATGCACATACACATGCACATACGCACACATACATACACACATACACAGACTTGTGCTGACAGCAGGTCAGCTTCCTCCTGAGTGTCTGAGAGCATGACCTCAGTCAGGGGCAGAGAAGGGGCCACTGTAATCTCTCTTAAATGACCATGTTAAGAATTCGTGTTATCCTCTGAGTCATCACTGGCCCTTTTCCGCGGAGAATTTATAATTAAATCTAAGATGATGTGGAAAGTGAGCTAAACGACCATATTAAGAATTCGTGTTATCCTCTGAGTCATCACTGGCCCTTTTCCGCGGAGAATTTATAATTAAATCTAAGATGATGTGGAAAGTGAGCTGGCCGCTGCTAATGGCAAGGAGATGAAAAACCACATGCGCTGCGAGCCCGCCTTCCTCCCCCGCAGCCGGTCTGCGCATGTCATGGGGCTGAGACTCAGTGAATGGCAGACGCAGACGGGGAGCCGGGCAGGGAGCACAGCAGGGGAGCACCTTGTGGCTGGCCGCCTGTTCTCCACGCGGATGTTTATTTAAATGGAAGAAAGAACAGGACACAGAAAGCAAACTGCGGCCAATGGGCAGGAAGGTGTCCTGACAACTATTTTATGCGGCAAACAAATCTTTTTTATAAAATCTGAAAAGGAATTCTAAAACCTTGATATTGTAACACTTGTATTTTTTCTATGTTTCTTTAACTATCCTAAAATTGAGAAGGGCGGGTACATATCTGATAGTATTGCCATTATTTTGTCATCTCTGTGCTGGTGTAACTTCTAAAAATTTTATCTTCCAAGCTACAGGATTCCTTTACCCTGACCAAATGTTCTCCAGTGGTTGGCAAAGTCATTAGTCAACAGAGCCAAATATCAACAGTACAACGATTGAAATTTCTTTTGAGAGCCAAATTTTTTAAACTTAAACTATATAGGTAGGTACAATGTTATTAACTTAATTAGGGTACTCCTAAGGCTTAGGAAGAGCCACACTTAAGGGGCCTAAGAGCCGCATGTGGCTCGCGAGCTGCAGTTTGCCGACCACTGTTAACCAATCGGACCGATCCACAGTGAGGTCATTGCCACAGACGCCGTGGCACTGGCATCTTAGAGACGTATCTCATCTGACCGCATTTTATTTGCGGGAACTCAGTTGTCCTCTGCTTCTCACATATCCTCAGAGATTTGTCTCCTCCGCAGGCTTCTGTGCTTTTAAATTTAGTTATAAGAATTCAGCTCCTAATCACTAGATGGCAGACCAAATCTACCATCTCATTATAATATATAATTAGAGGCCCGGTCGTCAGGCCTGCTGTTTGACAACCTTGGGCCATGCCACAGGTCCACATTCTGTTATATAATTACTAGAGGCCCAGTGCACGAAATTCATGCAAGGGGCTCAGCCCTCACAGCTCCGGCTTCGTCTGGAAGGTCATCCGGAAGGACATCTGGTTTAATTAGCATATTATGCTTTTTCTATTACAGATACTCGGGCAAAGAAGCCCTCACAGCCATGACCATATTGAAATCTGACTGTCAGGACAGATGTGGTTGTATCTTCAAATTGGATTATGGGGTCAGCCTAGGGCAATGGTCGGCAAACTGCGGCTCTCGAGCCACATGTGGCTCTTTGGCCCCTTCAGTGTGGCTCTTCCACAAAATACCACGTGCGGGCACACACGTACAGTATGATTGAAACTTCGTGGCCCATGCTCAGAAGTCGGTATTTTGTGGAAGAGCCACACTCAAGGGGCCAAAGAGCCACATGTGGCTCGTGAGCCGCCTAGGGAAATGGAAAAACATATACCATCTAAGTCCCTAAGCCCACGCTGGACGCTCC